TCCATTCTGGAATGCCTGGGAAAGTGCCCAGCACATCATGAGCGTTACCATAAACTAACTAACTAATCAAAATTGGCTAAAATGTTCAAATATGGGTTTCTGAGGTTGGTCAACTAAGTGTGTATTCAAGCACCTAATGAGGATTGAGGTGCCTAAATATAGATATAGATTTGAACCTTTAGATGCAAACATTTGAAGATTTTGGACTTAGATCCTAAATAGTGACTTCCTAGCTCTTCTCATGGCAAGGTGGGAAAATATCCTTTGCAGACAATTCTGCTATCAAATATAAGCAAAACTGCAGAGCCAAACATCCAAATGGATTGTTTTTGTTTCTGTGGCAAATAGAACTCAGCCTATTTTCATAATGAAATCTTATATAAAAGAGTTTTTATTTGTGATATCTGCTATTTCTCACACTCATGTTTTCAGGAACATGGTTTTTAAATTTCTTGGATGACATGCTATAACTTGTCATGCCCAGTTGGGCTGAATCACTCAGCAAGAAATTTGCACATGGTTAATGAAACACCTTGCATCCACCAAGTAGACAGGAAAGAAGAGCTAATTTAAAGAAACTTGCTTATAATCCTATCCCCTCCATGAAGGTAGAGAGTATCACTGATGCTAGAGACTGGCCTATGGGGCCCCTAATGGCATTGTCCAGACATGGAGAACAGCAAACAATCTCCTATCCATACTGGTACAGGGCAAGAAAGCAGCAAGAGCTGACAGAGAATCTAAGACAGTGCTGGCCATAAGAGTCTGAGGTACTTACATCTACTCAAAACATAACTCTATTAAAAAACAGATACCCAACATACTATGGGTCTTATGCAAACAAACCAGAGTATACACATAAGGCCCAATACTACAATCTTGATTTGGGCAACAGTACCATTGACAATAATGGGAGCTTTGTCTGAATCTGGACTGCAAATTCTGACTCATCATTCTCTAGAATGCAAGACCCACAATCTCTAGACAAGGGGTCGGCAACCTTTCAGAAGTGGTGTACCGAGTCTTCATTTATTCACTTTAATTTAAGGTTTCGCGTGCCAGTAATATATTTTAACGTTTTTTTAGAAGGTCTCTCTATAAGTCTATATATTTTATAACTAAACTATTGTCATATGTAAAATAAACAAGGTTTTCAAAATGTTTAAGAAGCTTCATTTAAAATTAAATTAAAATGCTGATCTTATGCCACCGGCCCGTTCAGCCTGCTGCCAGCCTGGGGTTCTGTTCGCCTACGCCGGCAGCAGGCTGAGCAGGGCCTAGGGCCGGGGACCCGGCTGGCAAGGGGCTGGAAGCAAGAACCCCAGACCGGCTGTGGTCTGAGCAGGGCTGGCGGCAGGGACCCCAGACGGGCAGTGGGCTGAGCGGCTCAGCCTGCTGCCGGTCTGGGGTTCAGTCCGCCGGTTCCTGCCAGCCAGGGTCCCGGCTGCCGGCCCCGCTCAGCCCGCTGCCAGTCTGGGATCCTGCCCCTGCCCACATAGAGTGGGTACCTACCTTCTCCCTGGTTCTAGCTCATTCTCTTCCTCTCTCTCTCTGCATTGAGCTGAGGGTGGGAGTGCACTGAGCACAGGGCTGGGGGTGAAGAAGCAGGCTGGGGGTTGGGGTGTACGGTCTGGCCAGGAGCGAGAATGAGGGAGGGGACTCAGGGTTGGGGTTTGGGTGTGGAGTGCTTACCTGGGCAGCTCCTATTTGGTGCGAGGGGTGCAGGTGGGAATGTGGGGAGTGGGGGGGGCGTGCAGGAGCTCCCGTTTGGTGCTCAGGGTGGGGGTGCGAATGTGGGGGGTGCAAGAATCAGGACATAGGGTGTGAGGGGGCTGGGTATGTGTGGGGGGTACTAGAGTCAGGGCTGGGATCATGGGGGGTGCAGGGATCAGGGCAGGAGGCTAGGGTGTGTGGGAGGTGCAGGGGTCAGGGCAGAGGGCTGGGTGTGTGGGGGTGCAGGGATCAGGGCAGAGGGCTGGGGGTGTGTAAGGGAGGTGCAGGGGTCAGGGCAGAGGGCTGGGGGTGTGGGCTGGGGTTGTGGGGGTGCTCCCAGCCCCCTGCCCAGAGCGGTTCACAGCAGGGGGCTGGAGGTCATATGCCCTGATTCCACCCCCCGTCCCCACCTCGTCTCTGCCTCCTCCCTGGAGCAGCAAGCGCACTGCAGCTCCGCTTCTCCCCCTCCCTCGCAAGGGTCATCAGCTGATGGGCGGCAGGGAGGGAGAGGAGGGGCAGGAACGCAGCACTCTGGGGGAAGAGGAGGGGGAGCTCGCCTGCCCTGCAGCAACAGCCGGCGCGGGGGCGGAGAAGAGCAGGTCGGGGCGGGCAGGATTTTTAATGGCTCGCTGCTGCCTGCTGGAGTCCCGGCCTGGGTTCAGCAGGGGGCTGAGTGGGGCCGGTGGCTGGGACTCAGCAGGCAGCAGCATGCCATTAAACATCGGCTTGCGTGCCATCTTTGGCACGCGTGCCAGAGGTTGCAGACCCCTGCTCTAGACCCACTGGTTCATAAACCTTGGCTCTCCAGTAATTTAGGTGCTATTTTTAAAGTATAATTTTAAGTGGCAAAAAGGATTTGTTTAAAAAGGAAAGCACCCTCATGAATGGAGCCCTTTAGGTAAGAATTTCAATGTCGGACAAATGTCAAGGTAAGGCAAACTTTATACTTAACAACCTTAATTATGCCTTTTTTTTACATACACAGAAAAACACCATTCACTAAAAAAGTTATGTATTCAGAGGTCATTCTGAAAATATAAAGGCAAAAACCCTAACAAAAAAAAACATTTACACATGCACACACATTATACACAGACTAAAACACAGAGGCAGTAAATAGGATGTCTGACATATACCTGCCTTACTTAAGGGCAAAATTTAAAAAAACTAAAACCAACTCCGCCCAAACATTTAGTGGTTACAGAAAACACCCAATCCACCTTTTGAGTAAGTTGCTGCCTTTCCCACTGTTCAATCACAAATCCCTGCAAGATCAGCTTACTGCTTTGATAAAGGGCTGTGGTTAAGCACAGGTGGATTTTTTAATACTGACATCAAGCAAAAATAAAAGAAAATCCTATGCAATGCAAAGGCTAACAAAGGATGTTTCATTTCCAATAAAAGCTAAACAACAATGCATTTCAGCACAACTTTCCCCCATTTAGCTTTATCAAAAATACCCAGCAAGTATTTTTCACCATTTAGCTTTATCAGTAATAAATAATTAAAGCAAACACTTCATGTTAAATTCTGTCATATAAGTAAATATGGGAGTACATCTACCTTGAGAAAATGAATGGGCTGAATTTTCAGAGATACTGAGCAACTACAATTCTCTTAGACCCCCCTCAAAGTTGTAGTTGCACTGCACCTCTCAAGAACTGGCTCAATGGCAGTTTTGCAAGGGTAAAGAGAGCAGGATTTGGCTTCTATTGTCCAGGGCATGTGCACTCCTAGAAAAAATTATACATGAGGAACATGGAAAACAACTACAAAAAAGAAGGCAGTTTCTACTAGGTATAAGCTGCTGCTGATGACAAATGCTGTTATTTGTTAAAAATCATTTACTTAGTTGGGGATTGGTCCTGCTTTGAGCAGGGGGCTGGACTAGATGACTTCCTGAGGTCCCTTCCAACCATGATATTCTATGATACTTTGTTTTCTTTTTCATTCCACTGTTTCACAGGCTATTTTCTAACTCAGAAAAAAATGATGTGATATGCTTTTGTTAGATGACATAGGTATAATAACAAAATGATATACTGATTTCTATAGAGGTCACCCTTTTCATTAATTACTAGAAACCCACAATATTCACCAAACATGGCAAAACCTGAACAGTTATTTCTTTAGTTATGTTACTCTGCATGTGATCATCACTTCCACTCTTTTCTTCTTTAATTACAGATTTAATAAATCAAAATTATTTCTAACCACCATCATGTGACATCGTGTGACAGTGAGTTGGTATATATATGTCAATCTGTTTCTCGATCTCTCTCTCACTTTCACGCAAAATGGAAGAATAATGTTTCAAGCCCAATAAGTTTTGGTCAGATGCAGAAATCTCCACAGACAGACAGTGATTTGAGTGAATATCTTTCTTCTCTGAGCTGCTGGAGAATCCTCTCCCGCTGATTTCTACGTCTTGCAGTAAAGCAGATAATGACTAGATAAAGTATTTCATGTACTTTAGCAAAAACTGCCTTTTCAATAAATTTACACTAGGCAGTAACGAGCTATATTGTGTGGCAGTTAATCTGCTCTAAAAAAAGTAGGAAGAAATTCTTCTGCTTGGCTCTCAGGTATTAAGTCCGAACATCTTTTATGTTGACAGTTTAGCTCCAGGCTATAAAACAGAAGAACCTGTTCTACATCTACTGTTTAAAACAAGCGCAGAAAACCTAAACCCCCATCAATCTGCTGCCTTAGTTTTACGACTTATCTGTGGCAAAAATGAATCATAAGAAAGATTTGTCCTGATTCCACAGACAGATCCATCAACATGCTGGTGCTTGTGAACCATACAATTCCTACAGAGATTGGTGGTAGTAGCAGACTTGCAGTATTACATGTGTTCAAGTGTTGAACTATGGATATTCATGCCTGATACATTTCAGTGAAAGTCTGCAGTAAGAGCATGTCCAGAAAACGTACATGCACACACACAGATACATTTTCATTTCTTTCATACCTCTACCCTCTCTGCATTGCATCCCATCTTTTATAAAGTTCTGTCAGGACTAATGCAAATATAGTAAGGCAGAGTGATTTAACTTTGAATATTATTCAGATGAAATTTTGGTTCAACTCTTCTGGAATATAAAATGCATACAAATCTGCAGTCTCTTTCTTCATCATGTTACTTGTAAGCCCTTTAAGAAATAATACAGTCTTATCAAGTTCTGCGCCATAGCCTTAAAAAATAAACCTAGGAAGATTCATAATCTTACATGTAAAATTCTGATCACAAGAGAAGACAGCTAGCAGATGAAGTATTTGCTCACCTGGCAGAAGCAGATCAACAGACTGAAGTCTACTTGTGATGGTGTGTAGGGTGAGGATAGCAAAGGAAAGCAAAGTCGGGAATGCTTGAAAAATAAAATATTTTTAGTTAACAAGTAGAAAAATAAAATGTTGGGAAAAGGGTCCATTTCAATTCTGAATCCCGCTCCCCAAATGGTCTCTGCTTTTGTATAAAACAACCTTTTTGAATGACCATCTCTAAGAGTAGGGCAGCAGTGTCACAGAAATGCATGAGGCCTCCAGTCAAGGACTAATCCTGTGAAGGATCTACTCAGGAAAAACTCCCATTGAAGTCAATGGGTAAATTATTCTATGTGCAAATGATAATGGGAGTGTCATAGTGGTGATTCAAATAGTTTCAGATAATAGTGTGTTGTCTCTGTATGTATCTTTCAGCACTTCATTTTGGCTATACCGTGGCTCACTATTGACAGTAACTTCAAGGTAACAATGTACTAAAAGTCAAAACCAGAAATTATCCGCTAATGAGAGGAAAAAATGGGACCCACTCTCTTTCAAGTAAAAGTTTTGCCTTTGCTCTAATGTCTGAGATGTGTCAGGGGATGTCTGAAAGGTGACATTAAAAAATAAATAAAAAGTTTTAGTATAGTTCAATGGCATTTATCCCACAAAGATTGGGAACAACTGTCCAATCTATTGATTATTTAAATATTTGTACAGAAAGTAAAAACAATTAATTATATAAGATAATAGGGGAAAAAACACCTACTCATGCAAAGTACTTGCAGTTTTTTTGACCTGATATCAAATTCATTTAATCTACTTTATGAAATTGCTTGAGGAAACATTCAGCTGTTTTCTGAAAGATTGACTTGGGGATTACTGAAGCTGTATAATTGTTCAAATGATCAGACTCAAAAAGAAACACTTTGTTTTACATTAATCTTACTGAAATGGGCAATGAATTTGAGAAATAGATTGCTGTCTAAAAGTCTTGCCAAAAAAATGTCTAGCTGAGAGCAACTGTAGCTCCTTTTTAATTTTTTTTATTTTGAACAATCTCATTTTCTTACTTTCAATCTTTATTCAACATCTGTTGTTTCCCCCTCCTCTGTAACATAATTATGCAGAATTCCAGTGTAAAACAGGTTGAGTAGGCAGCTTAAACATTTTTTCGCACTGTTGCCCTGCAGATCTTTTTCTTTCTTTCTTTCTTTCTTTCTTTCTTTCTTTCTTTCTTTCTTTCTTTCTTTCTTTCTTCTTGTTTAATTTGTGTATGTTTCTATCCTGCTCTTAAAGTGTGCTCTCACAACATATGGAAGCACCTGAAAGTAATTCTGGGATATGCACATGTTTATAAGGCTACTATTATGGTATTCAGCACATCAAAGAGCAGAGTGAAAGGCATGTTATTTGTTTTGTTGAAGCAAAAGCAATTAATCTATGAGTCATCTTGTTACCACAGTCAAATTGATACTCCAGTGAGTTTTCCAGAGCTTTTAAAGAGATTCTTTATATAGGTTCACAGTCTTTCAGTATTCATAAATGTTCTCTTTTCTCCAACAGGCTTATTTTTGCCTTCCTAAATTTGACATAAAACATATATATCTTATCACATATATCTTAAAAGTAGTCATGCTTCTCTGATAAATACTTCTCATTTTGTAATACTTCATTTCAGTAAGGAGCACTTGAAATTCAACCTAAAAAAAAGTGGAAAATGTTACACTGACAAGTGTTCGCTCTGTCCAAAAGGTCCTATGAAACACACAGCTCCTCCATGCAAACAGAGAGTGGTATAACATGCTCCGTTTTCCACGAATTTTCAGAGATCATTTATTAGGATGAATAAGGGGTCCTAATTCCAATGTACAAGTGAAAAATATGTTGTAACAAGTAGGAGCTAACCAAGAAAAACAACAAAATGGTCTAATTAATCTTCACTTTATCCATATTAGAATAAAAGGGTAAAAACAATGCAGAAGCGATTGAAGTCATATTCAAAAGAGGATACTAGATAGAAATTGTTAGGCGGGATCTCATCTTATATATGATGGATCACAAGTGCATAAAACACAGCAGATTCTGGAAAAATGTGTGCTAGAGCAATTCGATACTCCTGTCTTCAGGTCTTAGTAAATATCTCACCTCAGATTATCCAGTGAATACTAAATTATTGTAAACAAGATGGATCCAAATCATTCTTAATAATTTAAAATAGAATATTTTATCCACAAGATTATGAATTAATAGTTCATCAAGTTTGTGCTCTGAGGACTGAGAAAGGCTTTTTATGTTGGAATATGGTTTTTGTTTTAATATTATCACAGTTTGTTATACAGTATTTGTGGACACCTTTGTGTATTCTCTCCATATTTCTTGGCAGGCTGTTATGAAAATGTTGATTTTAATCTTTTCCCGGTTTGCTCTGCAGCGTGCAATTTTTATTCGATGTTGGGTTCCAATGACAGTTTATGTTACAGTGGGAAGAGATACTATCCCCTAGAACAGAATATCATTTGCAGGCCCCTTTCTGTTTTCTCACAAAAGATTACCTTATACTTTTTACTTTTAGTTTTTTAGTGCTGGAGACAAAACTTAATTTCCTAGTATTCCTAGTTAGCTTCTGCTCTTTAAAGAAGGTCATAAAATAGTGTGCAGCTCCTAAGCTTCAGGCTTTTCAGTAAAAGAGAAATCATGATATTCCACTAGGAGAGTCAGATGTAGATGAATAAAAGAATGCTTTTGAACTAAATATGAACAGAAAATATTTCAGAAAGCTTAATATCTTTTCTTTGGGCAAAATTACATTTAGGAGACAGAGTTACAGATTATCAGATTATTCCACTTTTTTTTTGTTCTCTTGAAAGACGTGTTTTTTTCCCCCAAGCAGAAGGTTAAAAATCATTTTGAAATGAAACACCTCAGATTTTAAATCTCTTTCTGTGATAAGGTAATGAGATGCATGTGATTTTTTTTAAATGGCATCTAGTTCTAGAAGCTGCTCTAATAATGAAAGATGACGTGTATAGTTTTTGTCAATTTGGCTGTAAAGTTAGCCATAAATATGTGCATATTTAACATGGAAATTTCTTTTGTAATGTAAAATTTTACTTTGGAAAAAAATACTATTTCTGTGCAGAGGTTCTTCTGCATATGCTTGAGACAAATCTCTTTACAGTTTTGGTTTTAATTTACTGGAGTTACAAAAAACCCATTTATTCCAAACCATCCTCACCTGCTCTCAACAAAGGAATCAAAGCAGAAGAGGCAGTTTAGAAACGGAGAGAAAATGCCACAAAACGTTGAAAGAAGCTAAAAGACAACACCCCACATCTGGCACATCCTGCAACTACCTGAGAAGACTGTGAGGAAGATTAGTTTGTACTAACTGCCACATATCAGTGTATTGTTAGTTATTGTGCACTCATGTGTGCACAGAAAATTGGGAATCTTGGAACTGATCCAGCCAGGTTGTAAGTTGCAGCAAGACTTTTGAACCTAACTGTGTGTAAAAAATCACAACAACATTTTCAATACAAATACAAGAAACTATTTTATATGAGATTGCTGCAACTGTGATATTGTTTATAGGAAAGTCTTTCTGCCACATTATTACAGTTTGCTTGGATGAAAAAGAAATGCATACTATATTGTAGCACTGCAAATTACACCCTGCTCACTTAGCTTCAAACAACTTTTTTCACCAAACAATACAAATATCTTAGGTTTCAGTGTTTCCTGATGGGAATTCTACAGAACTAAACAGATTTCTATAGGGAATTATGTTGTGATTTAATTTAATTTTTCATGACATTTAGCCCATAACCCACTATGTTGATCTGAAAAAAGATGCAGAATTATATTTTAAATTATTATTATTATTATTATCAGAATCATGATCAAAGAAAAGAAGAATGATATACAATAGCGTTACGGACATATTATCTGTTGCACATTCAAGTACTCTGCAGAGCAGATTATGTCATTTCTTTAAAAAAAAGAAAAGACATAATAAGCCATATATATACAATCATTATCTTTGAATATGGCTACAAAAAAAGGAGGGAAATAATTTAAACCTTTTCCTTTCAGTGTTAAAATAAAATGGCACACTCACAGTACACACTGGATTGTGATTAATTACCCTGTCTTCTCAGATTTTATATATGAATTCAGAGGACAGTTATTTCTGAGTTAAAGAAGAAAATTTTACATATAAATTTAATCCAAATATTTGTGGGTTTTTTTCTTTCACTAAAAAATACAGACCTTGTAAGTGCTATTCATGTCTACACATTTTGGCCACATGCACTACAGTGCAACATCACCTTCTGAGTTCTACCAAGATAGGATAGCTGTCAGATGAAAGTACCACACATTCTTTTGCAGGGAAAGAATTTGCTGTTTTCTTTTAAATGACATCACCGAGTCAATAAGCCTGAAATCAGACCTACCAGCATTTGTGAGCATGCATGCACATTGCCATCCTGCTGATCTGTTCCATTCTTGTGAGAAGTTTAAGAAAATCTAAGACAGTGGTTTCCATCCTTTTTTGCTGAAGCCTCTATTTGTTGTGGATTAGCAGATGGCCACTGAACATGCCCCTCACACTATGTCCTCCTGCCACAGATACCACTAACTTTCTTTTCTCTCTCTCCTCTCTCTTTTCCTTTTCTGTCTTCTCTTTCGCTGCTTCCTTCCACCATCTTCCTTTCTTAGGGCTTGTCTACACTTACTGGGGGTTCAACGCACAGTGATAGATGAACTGGCAGTCTATTTAGTGGGTCTAGTGAAGACCCGCTAATCGACCGCTGATCACTCTTCCGTCGACTCCTGTACTCCACCTGAACAAGAAGCTCAAGGGGAGTTGACGGGAGAGCTCCAGTGGAACTAACGTAGTGTGGACCCCATGGTAAGCAGATCTAAGTACGTCGACTTCAGCTACGTTATTCACATAGCTGAAGTTGCATAACTTAGATCGATCTCCCCCTGTAGTGTAGACAAGGTCTTAGTCTTTACAATATTTCTACATGTTCTGTCTGATTCACACCCCCGCCCCCCCCCCGTTCCTAATCTCCTGCTGTCTGGGAAGTCTGAGCCC